TTTTAACTAAAACATTAATACATAACACGGGAGGCTCTTAAGATTCTTTCAAATTCGTCTCAATGTTTTTTAAAAATTCTTTCAAGAATAAAACACAAGTGAACCTGAAGATTCTTTCAAATTCTTTCAAAAAGAAACCCCTGATTCCTGAGATTTTATCAATTTTTTTCAAGAATAAAACACAAGGGAACCTGAAGATTCTTTCAAATTCTTTCAAAAATAGAACACGAAAGGCCCTGAATATTTTTTCCAATTCTTTTAGAAACAAACCACCAGCAGTTCCAGAGGTTTTTTAAAATTCTTTTAAGAATAAAACACAAAGGACCTTGAAAATGTTCTTTCAAAATTAAAACATCAGGGTTCTTGGATTTTTTTTCAAATTCTTCCAAAGATAGAACACAAGGGACCCTAGAGATTCTTTCAAACTCTTTCAAAATTAAAACCTCAGAATCCCCGATTTTTTTTCAAATTCTTTCAAATATAGAACATTACGGTTCGCGAAAATTCTTTCAAATTCTATAAAAAAAATCTGGAATTCCTGCGATTTTATTTACTTATTTTTTTTCAAAAATGGAACACAAAGGACCCCAAAGATTATTTTAAGTTCTTTCAAAATTAGAACACGAGTGGCTCCTACGATTCTTTCAAATTCTTTCAGAAACAAAGCACCAGAGGTTCCCAAAGTTTTTTAAAACACTTTCAAGAATAAAACACAAGGGAGCCTGAAGATTATTTGAAACTCTTTCAAAAAGAAACCCGAGATTCCTGAGATTTTATCAAATTCTTTCAAAAATAAAACATAAAGATCCTTACGATTATTTCAAATTATTTCAGAAACAAAAGACCAGAGATTCCCGAGGTTTTTTAAAGTACTTTCAAGAAAAAAGACAAAAGAGCCTGGAAATTCTCTAGATTTCCCGAATTTTTTTCGAATTCTTTCAAATATAGAACACATGGGACATTGGAGATTCTTTCAAACTTTCAAAATTAAAACATCAGGGGTCCTCGAATTTTTTACAAATTCTTTCAAATGATCTCAATTTCTTTCAAATTCTTTCAGAATTAAAACATCAGGACTCCCCGAATTTTTTCAAATTTTTTCAAGTACTAAACATCAAGGTCCGCGAAAACTCTTTCAAATCCTATCAAACAACCTGGAATTCAATTTTTTTTTTATTCTTTTAAACATAGAACACAAGGGAGATTGGAGATTCTTTCAAGCTCTTTCAAAATTAAAACATCAGGGGTTCTCGAATTTTTTACAAATTCTTTCATCAATTTCTTTCAAATTCTTTCAGAATTAAAACATCAGGACTCCCCGAATTTTTTCAAATTTTTTCAAATATTGAATATGAAGGTCCGGGAAAATTCTTCCAAATCCCATCAAACAACCTGGAATTCAATTTTTTTCGAATTCTTTCATATATAGAACACAAGAGACATTGGAAATTCTTTCAAACTCAAAATTAAAACATCATCGGTCCTCGAATTTTTACAAATTCTTTCAAAAATAAAACATAAAGAATCCTTAAGATTATTTCAAATTCTTTCAGAAACAAAACACCAGAGATTCCCGAGGTTTTTTAAAGTACTTTCAAGAAAAAAGACAAGGGACCCTGAAAATTCTCAAGGTTTTCCGAATTTTTTTCGAATTCTTTCAAATATAGAACACAGGGGATATTAGAGATTCTTTCACACTCTTTGAAAATTAAAACATCAGGGGTCCTTGAATTTTTTACAAATTCTTTCAAATGATCTCAATTTCTTTCAAATTCTTTCAGAATTAAAACATCAGGACCCCCCGAATTTTTTATTTTTTTTTCAAAAATTGAATATGAAGGTCCGGAAAAATTCTTTCAAATCCTATCAAATAACCTGGAATTCATTTTTTTTCGAATTCTTTCAAATATAGAACACAAGAGACATTGGAGATTCTTTCAAACTCAAAATTAAAACATCAGCGGTCCTCGAATTTTTTACAAATTCTTTCAAAAATAAAATATAAAGGATCCTTAAGATTATTTCAAATTCTTTCAGAAACAAAACATCAGAGATTCCAGAGGTTTTTTAAAGTACTTTCAAGAAAAAATACAAAGGACTCTGAAAATTCTCTAGGTTTCCCGATTTTTTTTCGAATTCTTTCAAATATAGAACACAGGGGATATTAGAGATTCTTTCACACTCTTTTGAAATTAAAACATCAGGGGTCCTCGAATTTTTTACAAATTCTTTCAAATGATCTCAATTTCTTTCAAATTCTTTCAGAATTAAAACATCAGGACTCCCCGAATTTTTTCAATTTTTTTTAAATACTGAATATGAAGGTCCGGGAAAATTCTTTCAAATCCTATCAAACAACCTGGAATTCAATTTTTTTCGAATTCTTTCAAATACAGAACACAAGGGACATTGGAGATTCTTTCAAACTCAAAATTAAAACATCAGCGGTCCTCGAATTTTTTACAACTTCTTTCAAAAATAAAACATAAAGGATCCTTAAGATTATTTCAAATTCTTTCAGGAACAAAACACCAGAAATTCCCGAGGTTTTTTAAGGTACTTTCAAGAAAAAAGACAAAGGACTCTGAAAATTCTCTAGGTTTCCCGATTTTTTTTCGAATTCTTTTAAATATAGAACACAGGGGACATTGGAGATTTCAAACTCTTTCAAAATTAGAACATCAGGATTCCTCAAATTTTTTACAAATTCTTTCAAATGATCTCAATTTCTTTTTAAATTCTTTCAGAGTTAAAACATCAGGACCTCCCGAATTTTTTCAAATACTGAACATGAAGGTCCGGGAAATTTTTTTCAAATCCTAGCAAACTACCTGAAATTCAATTCTTTCGAAGTCTTTCAAATATAGAACACAAGGGACGTTGGAGATTCTTTCAAACACAAAATTAAAACATTAGGGGTCCTCGAATTTTTTACAAATTCTTTCAAATAATCTCAGTTTCTTTCAAATTCTTTCAAAATTAAAACATCAGGACATTTTTTAAAATTTTTTCAAATATTGAACATGAAGGTCCGGGAAAATCCTTTCAAATTCTATCAAAAAAACCTGGAATTCCTTCGATTTTGTATATATTTTTTTCAAAAATAAAACACAAAAGACCCCCAAGATTCTTTTTAATTCTTTCAAAAATAGAACACGAGAGGCTCCTAAGATTCTTTCAAATTCTTTCAAAAACTCCCTAAGATTCTTTCAAACTCTTTCAAAAATAGAACATTAGGGACCACCGAATTGTTTTCAAATTTTTTCAAATATGTACTTACTTAGAACATGGAAGCCTCAAAAATTCTTTAACATATTTAAAATAAATCATTTAGGGCATCTAAAATTGGTTCTATTTTTTTTTTTAATAAATACTTAAAAAACCTGAAGGACCCTAAATATTCTTTCAGATATCTCAAAAGACACCAAGGGTTCCAAAGATTTGGCACATATTTACAAAAAGACGTTAGAGGCCCTCAAGACCTTTCAACTTTTTAAAAACAGAACACCAAAAGCCCAACAGGCTAAAGCCTAATTACAGGAAACTTAAGACCTGACCTGACTTGACTTGACCTGACCTGACCTGACCTTAATAGAAAAAAATAAGACTTAATGAAAAGAAACAAAACAAACTTTTCCAAAATTAACAAATGTAGTATATACATATCGAGTAAAGGATCAATTTTAAATTGGATTTGCGATATCGCAAGTCTTGTTGCTATGGAAAATGTGATGAACTGATGACAGTTGCTGCGATTCGCTATTGCAATTCGCTATCGCAACTACTGTCATCGCATTACGACTACCTGAATTCCAAAACTATTTTCCACTTAGAAATAGAATGTATTGAATCGAAATTGAGCTATTTTATTGTAGTTACCGCACAGAAACTGTAGATTTACACAAAATGTTAAAATCATTATCGAATAAGTAGAAATCGCAAGCTCGTCTCGATCCTCCCGTCACAATCATCACTCACCTTTGAAAAATAAAGCAGCTTTGAGCGTCAATTCGTCGTCGCGACGCCTGACATTTTTACATTTCAGCGTCGATTTCTGCTAATGGCACTTAATTACAGCGGCGTTTTTAAGCTCGAGCTGGTGCTTTACGCAAGTGTGATCCTGCCGTAAATCAAGCAAGATATGTAAAAGCCGGGCGAATCCCCAACGTCGGCAATTTGTTTCAGATATCGGTTTCGGCACACAACTTCCATAGTTTTGATCGAGAGTTAGACAACCGCGTTTGATTAATAGTTCTATAGACTCGCATTAATTCTAGTGCATGTTACATTAAAACCCACATTGTGGGACGAAGTGCTTGTCATCTTCGTCACCCGAATGTATCCATTCGACACGCTACACTGCTCCCCGAAAAAAGCCCGATATCGTCCTTACAAATGGGACGCGCCCATTTATGCCATCGCTTCCTTCTTTGTGATGCAGATGCGTTAAACAGCGATCAATCAACGACGTGGATTCTATACACTTGTGTTGATGGTGGAGGCAATTGATGGTCACTCAATACCTCGCCTCCACCCAACGATTCGCCCGGTGTTTATGTATGGATTTCGGGCGCCGATGATGTCAGCGGTTTTATTTTTACCATTTTTGGCAAGCAGCAAATTTAGACTGACAGGTTTATAAACTGGGTTTTGTTGGAGGACGGTTTGATGGTTGTGGTATGTTTAATGGATAGTGGCACGCTAACGCGCCGATTTTGTGTGATTGCTGCTACTAGTTCACATTTACTTTGTTGTGACGCTTTCAACCTACATTATTCAATACTTGTTTTCCTGTTTATGAGTAAATACAATACGGAAAGAGTCCTCGGGGTCACACGTTCGTTACACGCCACTTTTCGAAAACATATTTCAATTATTACTATTATTATTATTATTGAATTGTGACACGCTAAAGCTTGAGCTTATGTATCCTGCATGTCATTTAGGCGGTGAAAGCGTTATTATATAGAGACTGGTACAAGGGTTCGCTCCACAGTGCATTAAAAGAATCCGGTGAAAAGCCCGGATCGAAAATAGCGGTTAAACGGGAAGCCATCCTGGATGCTGGGAATTAATTCCAGCCGACATTGTCTCAGGACGCGCTCCGGGGAGGAAAAGGGGTCGTGACTCCGGATAGGTAATGGGTTTTTGATTACAAACTCCATCCCATAGCAGTGATTGGACCGCCTCGACTAAACATCAATGCGTAACAATTGACTTAGCCTCTGCTTTCATCTTTCGATATTATTTTCCATTGTAATCAATTTAATTTTCGGTAGATGGGCTGTTTAGAATTTTTCGGGGGCTTTCGGCCGGAGATTTATGGCTTCTCGGATGGTAACAATGTAGAGTGTTTTTCTCGTCAGGGAGCAATTAATTGCTAGTTTAAATTTAAAACGACGTTTGTTATTGTTGGAACGAATTTGTGTCGCCGCAGATGTGATAGTAACAAAATCTCGGAGAATGGAAAGCTCTTGGTGCAATTAAAGCGTGGAAACATAAACAAACTTTAACCGGAAAGTTTTAATTTTAAATGTATAAATCACGTGTTGCGGACGAGGCCAACATCCAGCGTCGGACGAATTTATCTTGTTTTTGAAAAAAATGGTGCCCGAGCTGAATGGCGCGAAATTTAAATTAAAAATTAGTAGATTAATGTTGGTTCAGTGACCCCTCAGAGCAGATAGCACGAACCTGATTTACGTTACGCTGCCCATCATCTACAAATCTGGGAACGTTATTCCTCGAGATAATCTAAACCTGACACGTAATTTTTCTTCCGTAATCATTTTAAAAAAGTCATTAAAAATTCTCCCATAAATAACCGCATTTTCGTTTTCTTAATTATTCCGCCCGATTTTATTAAACCTTAATGGACGAAGTGCACGCGAAAACGGTAACGATAAGTCGAAAAAACCAATTCGTTAGTCAAAATTAAATGTGAATTTTGGACATTTGCGTGTCGAATTTGATAGCAATGTGAGGTTCACTTGTAAAGCTTACACCTGAAAAAATTCACCCCACAATTAACGATCATATCTGAAAGAAGGCCCATGTCGGGCGAGATTAGATTGATCATTATTTTTTTACACGAGCTTGGAGACAGAATGACGCCTCGTAAAACAGTCCAAAGGTAGTAAATCAGATAAGTGTGGGTAAAATTTAGTGTGACGAAGAATGTACAAGGGTTGTTTAATTCTTACATCTCTAAAATTAAGTTTAAAATCCGAGGGTTAAATAAAAATATAGCGAGTTTTTTAAGACAGTTTTCGCGCGAGTGTTTCTTCGTTTGTGTATTTGATTTCCTGCGAAGTTTGCGAGTTGTCAGATTTCGTATCCGCGAAAAGTGGGTTGCATCCGAATCACGCCTCCGCTTTCAATCTACGTAAAATCTCTCCTCGAAAACTAATCTTTTTCTTTAAGATCCAAATTACACGCACTCCCCTAACAATATTTCCCCGACGTGACGTCGTTGTAATATTCACATCGAATGTAGTCGTTTTATACGGTCGTGTCGTCCACATATAGAATTTTTCCGAATATAAAATAAGGTAAAAAAAGGTTTTTCCGATGAGAATTGAAATTCGCATAACAAATTCAGCCGCCAGCAATGTATCTAGAAGTGTCTTCTCCCGGCTCAGTCCTACACGGAATCCTATTTACATTCGCTTCTTCGCCTCGACTCTAGATGCATTGTTCTCAAGGGCCCACTTTCGTATCACTTACTTGTTTTCACGGCCATTCGAAAAATATATCGTTATACGGATAATAGACCTTCTAGCCAAAGGAAAAATAAGATCGGTTTTATGCCTTCGCCGCTTGCCACTTGCGAAACGAAGATTTCCAACAAAGACGAGCTTTTTTAAAAGCTTGGATATTAAAACTCCCATCCAGATGCAATAAAAGAAAAGCCGCGGATCCATTAAGGCGATTTTAAAGTGCTCGATGTGTTCTGCACTCTTGTAAATGTTTGCTGTTTGTTACTTTCTATCACCGGGGAACGCACGCCTGGAACTTGGAACATTTCCTTCACAAAAAGATAACACTTGTTTCGACATCATAAATTGTAACATATAAGTTACAGAATCAAATTGAGGTGACCAGTATCTTCACTAATAAACGAGCTATTGCTTAAACACTTCCAGTGGATTTCATATGTTGTAACAACTGTAACACGAGCCGCGCGTGAATAAATATTGTGAGATTATCTAAAACGGTAGGGAATTTGCAGGGAATACGAAAACTATTTTAGCCTTGTTAACTGTTTGGAAAATAAATACTACTTTGTGAAACAAAATGCTAAATTACCTCTTTATTGTGTCTTTGTTTGTTTTTCTTATTATTGTTATTAATAATGCACGTTGTTACACGGTCGGACAACAACTGCCGTAACTAGTATTTTTCTCGGGTTACATATAAACATAAACATGTAATAACGTCGTTTTAATTGTTACAGGTTGAGGTCGCCCTAATTTTTGTTCAGAGCTTCCTTCACACATCAGTTTCTAATAATCAGATCCCATCATGAAGATGATTACACGTTTAACACTGTCTACTACTTTTTGGCAACGATAATACATGAATTTTTGCCAGAAATTATCCCTAATATACTTTAGTTAAAGCTCTAATTCTCATTTTCCTTGTTCGTCGTATACACATTCTGATGATCAATATCACCCTTTTCTTCGCTCCGTTGCCACTCTCACTCTTATTTTTCTTCATTAGTATACACATTTTTATGATCAGTCACTCTCCCGTTCTCGTCTCACTCTCACTCTCTTTTTCATTCTGAAGCACACTCCCATTTCGAGTCTCACTGCCATTCTCACCCTCATATTTTTACTCATGTGTATCAGTTCCTATTCTCGTTTGCACTCTCAGCATCAGTTTCATCGCAGTTTTTGTTTTCATATTAGTACTTATTATTTTCATTCTCATTTTTGTTTCTATTCTCATTATTTCTCATTATTACTGAAATTTTTATTATGATTATCGCTCTCAGTTGAATTTTAGTTTTAATGAAAATGTGCATTCTCATTCTCCTTTATTCTAATTCTTCTTCTTATCTGTTTTCTTCCTTACTAGATCTTTCTTTCGTTCTGATACTCACTCGATAATTTATTTCACTCTTATTCTTGGTCTCCTCTTGTTCTCATTCTCATTCTCATTTTTAGTCTCGTTATCACTCCTATTCCACGTCTTTCTCAGATTCATTTGCATTCCCATGTTCACTCTCAATTTCCTTTTCAATTTCATTCCGTTCCTCTCCTTGTTTTCATTGCAGTGCTAATTTTCATTCCAATTCTCATTTTCATTCTCATTTTTGTTTCCAATTTCATTCTATTTCTCACCCCTCACCATTCATCACTCCCGTTTTCACTACGGTTGGCACTCTTATTTTAATCCTCTTTTTGATTTAGTCTCATTCCTTTCAATATTATCTTTTTCCAGTCTTTCTCGCGTTGTCATTACTCACTCTCTGGTTAATTTCACTCTTATTCTCTATCTCACTCCCTTTGTTATTCTCATATTCATTTTCAGTTCCGTTTTCATTCTCGTTCTCCTTCAAACATTCATTCCATTGTTTCATTTCAGTTTCCATTTTCATTTTATTTCTCATGATCACTCCCGTTTTCACTTTGGTATTCACTTTTTCATTGTAGGATTTACTTGGCGTTCTTTTGTAATTCTCATTATTCTTGTCATCATCACTCTAATTCTAATTATCCATTTCTCGTTATTTCTCGTGTCTTAAAACTCATTTTCCTGGTACATGTTATCCTTACTCTAGGTCTCATCTTCTTGTTATTCTCTTTTTTAGTCTCGTTTTCAGACTCATTCTCTATGTCATTTTTATACCCATGCCAATTCCCGTCGTCATTCTCAATTTCATTCTAATACCTATTCCGTTCTCTTTTTTGTTTGCGTCCTCACCCTCATTGGCAGTCTCATTTTCGTTTTCATGTTCATTGTCGTGCTCCTTGTCATCCTCCCTCTTGGTCTCATTTTCATCATCACTGTCAGTCCCATTTTCATTCTCATTTCCATGCTCACTCTTGTCATTTCCATTGTCCCCGTTATCTTTATTTTTGTTTCCATTTTCATTCTGTTCTTCATTATCACTTCCGTTTTGTCTATGGTTGTCACTCTCACTTCAATTCTCATTCTCACTTTCATTTAGGACTTAATTTATCTCCCCTCTTCTCGTTCTAATTCTCATTCTCCCTTTCCCAGTCTTTCAATCGTTGTCATCACTCATTCTCTGATTTATTTCATTCTTATTTTGTTTCTCATCTTGTTTTTAGTCTCATTCTCATTCTCTTTGTCATTCGCATATTCGTTTCTATTCCCATTGTCATTCTGAATCTCCTTGTAACTTCCACTCCGTTCCTTTCGTCGCTTTTATTCCTAATTGCTTTCTCGTTCTTATTTTTATTTCCATGATTACTCTCGTTTTCACCGTGTTTGTCACTCTCATTTTCACTTTTATTCTCCATTGTCATGTTCTCACTCTTAATCTCATTTTCATCAACACTGTTATTCCCATTTTTAATTCCATTCTCATTATGATTGTCACTCTTATTTTAATTCTTAATCCCATTTTCATTTTCAGTCTTAGGTTAATTCTCTTTTGGTTGCTCATTTTCAGTGTCATGTTAATTTTCATTCTTTCTCTTAGTAGCATTCCTTTCATTCTCATTCTCCTTCTCCCAGTTTTTCTATCGTTGTCATCACTCATTCTCTGGTTTATCTCATTCTTATTCTTGTTCTCATCTTGTTTTTAATCTCATTCTCATTCTCTTTGCCATTAGCCTATTCGTTTTTATTCCCATTGTCATTCTTAATCTCTTTCCAACTTTCGTTCCGTTCCTTTTATTATTTTCATTCGTAATTGCTTTCTCATTCTTATTCTCATTTTCATGCTCACTCTCATTATCATTTCGATTGTGCCTGTTATTTATATTTTTGTTTCCATTTTCATTCTGTTTTTCATGATTACTCCTGTTTTTACTATGGTTGTCACTCTCATTTTCCTTCTAGACCTTACTTTCTCTCTCCTCTTCATTTTCCGAGTCATTAAAATTTTCATTCATTTCAAGCTTTCTTGTCATCGTTACTCTAATTCTCAATATCCCTTGTTCTTTCTCTTGTTTTAGTAGTCATCCTCTGGTCATTCTCACTCTTCATCTTATTTTCACCATCACTGTCATTGCCATTTTTATTTCCATTCTCAATCTCATTTTCATTTTTGGGTTCATTCTCTTTCGGTTGCTCATTTTCAGTGTCATATTAATTTTCATTCTTTCTCTTAGTATCATTCTTTTCATTCTCATTCTGATTCTTATTCTCTTTTCCCCAGTTCTTCTATTCTTGTCATCACTCATTCTCTGGTTCATCTCATTCTTATTCTCGTTCTAATCTTGTTTTTAATCTCATTCTCATTCTCTTTGTGATTCGCCTATTCGTTTCTGTTCCTATTGTCATTCTCAACCTCTTTCTAACTTCCACTCCGTTACTTTCATCGTTTTCATTCCTAACTGCTTTCTTCTTCTTATTCTCATTTCCATGATTACTGTCGTTTTCGCTGTGTTTGCCAGGCTCATTTCCATTTTTATTCTCCATTGTCACGTTCTCGCTCTTAATCTCTTTTTCATCAACACTGTTATTTCCATTTTTATTTCCACTCTCATTATCATTGTCACTCTTATTTTAATGCTTAATCTCATTTTCATTTTCATTCTTAGGCTCATTCTCTTTTGGTTGCTCATGTTCAGTGTCATGTTAATTTTCATTTTTTCTCTTTGTAGCATTCCTTTCATTCTCATTCTAATTCTCATTCTCCTTCTCCCAGTTTTTCTATCGTTGTCATCACTCATCCCCTGATTTATCTCATTCTTATTCTTGTTCTCATCTTGTTTTTGATCTCATTCTCATTCTCTTTGTCGTTCGCCTATTCATTTTTATTCCCATTGTCATTCTCAATCTCTTTCCAACTTTCGTTCCGTTCCTTTCATTATTTTCATTCGTAATTGCTTTCTCATTCTTATTATCATTTTCATGCTCACTCTCACTATCATTTCGATTGTGCCTGTTATTTATATTTTTGTTTCCATTTTCATTCTGTTTCTCATGATTACTCCTGTTTGCATTATGGTTGTCACTCTCATTTTCTTTCTAGACCTTACTTTCTCTCTCCTCTTCATTTTCCGAGTCATTAAAATTTTCATTCATTTCAAGCTTTCTTGTCATCGTTACTCTAATTCTCAATATCCCTCGTTCTTTCTCTTGTTTTAGTACTCATCCTCTGGTCAGTCTCGCTCTTACTCTAGGTCTTGGCCTCTTGTTACTGCTTGAAATTCATTCTTTCTGTCATTCTTATACCCATGTTCATCCCCGTCGTCATTCTCAATTTCATTATAGTAGTTATTCCGTTTTGCTTATGTCCTTAGTCTCATTGGCAGTCTCACTTTCATTGCAAATCTCATTTTCGTTTACACGTTCATTGTTATTCTCGCTGTCATTCTCATTGTTGTCTCATTTTCACCATCACTGTCATTGCCAATTTTTTTTCCATTCTCAAAATGATTGTCACTCTCATTTTAATTCTTAATCTTCTTTTCATTTTCATTTTCATTCTTGGGCTCATGCTCTTTCAGTTGCTCATTTTCAGTGTCATGTAAATTTTCATACTTTCTCTTAGTATCATTCCTTTCATTCTCATTCTAATTCTTATTCTCCTTTTCCCAGTCCTTCTATCCTTCTATTCTACCATTCCTGTCATCATTCTCAACTTCATTATAGTGTTTATTCCGTTCTCTTTTTTGATTACGTCCTTAGTCATTTTGATTGCAGATCTAATTTTCATTTTCACGTTCATTGTCATGCTCACTGTCATTCTTACTTCTAGTCTCATTTTGATCATCACTGTCATTGTCATTTTTATTTCCATTCTCATTATGATTGTCACTCTCATTTTAATTTTGATTGTCATTTGCATGCTGGGGCACACTCTTTTTCAGTTACTCATTGTCTGGTTAATCTCACTCTCATTTCATTATTTTTCTCCTTTTCACTCTAAATATCAGTATCATTCACGATACCATATGTCGCGAAAATAAACCATTCGTCACAACAAAAAAACGGGTATTTAAAAGCTAGTTTTAAAAAGAACTTGGTTTGTGAGATGCATCGTCTGTTTTCAACGAGTCGAAACTCTTTACATCCTGCAGTCTGAATCCTACTTGATGGCTTATCTGTTATTTCAAGGAGCTGTAAGCACACTACATAATATGTACATCCAAGAAATTAAGCCAAAAATTGCGCCAAATCGATCCGTTAATCACTTTAGTCAACTTTGCTCACCTAAATTATCGTTATTACAGCCCTGTTATACAGCTTTATCCAAAAGTGCCTTAAAACGCCCGCATTATACGACGCCCTCCCCCGAGCACTAAAAAGCTAGTCTCTCGCAAAACCTCCTTACGAGTCGCAAATCTCAGGACCGTATTTGTGAATTCTCAGTTTTCCTTCTGTTCCGCGAAATGGGTTATGACAGTGGCGATAAAGCCGTCTTCGGCGACACACCTGACGTTTTGTATATGCAAATCTCGAATTTCGTGGGCCAGAAAACCGACGACTACAACTTGCAGCTCATCCGCATATTTTATTATACCCTTTCCAAGTTTTCTTCGCCTGGGTAACTTCGGCCTCCCATTTTAGACGACGACGCTTTTACCCCGTCTTCGTTGTTTTGCGTCGGAAACTTTTCGAAGCGTATAAAGCGTTCGCTGAAAAAATCACCTGTACGACGAGTAATTGTGATTAATCGTGTATTCGTACGGACGTCGGAAGCCGCGAGGAATATTTTTTTTAATTTGGGGCGAGGTTTGGTGAATCCATTTCTTTGCATAAAGTGGGGGCGTAATTAGAAAATGCGGAACTGTAAATTTGGCAACGTTAAAACGGGATTCAGGATGATCAAGAAAATTGATAAATCTTCAATTGCTTTGATCGTTTTTACTTCCTGAGCATGAGTATTAGACACATAATCTCCGAAACTACTGGACCGATTATTGTCAAATTTTGTACGTATATCAGGAGGATCATGTTTCATGTACATGGTAAAACTTTAACCAAAATTTACAGGAATACATTTTTTTTATTTTATAACACTACTCCTGCACTTGCATGAATCCGTGTTGAGTTTTCACCCCACACATCCAGATTTTTGGAAAAAAAATCTAAATTGTATAATAATATTTTGCAAATTAACTTTGAAACCACATAAAATTTTCAATTTCCAAGTTCTTGATTTTTGTTTTCCATTTTTCCGATTTTTTAATAATCATTTTTTTGTTTTTTGCATATATCACAATCTCGATTTTCCAATTTTAAAATTTTTCAATTTTGCAATTTTTGGACAATTTTCCGATTTTCCGATTTGTTTTTCAATATTTCGATTTTAGAATATTTCGTTTTTTCGATTTTATACTTTTTTTTAATTTTTGATTTTTCAATTTTACAATTTTGCGATTTTTACATTTTTTTGTTTCGAAAAGTGGGAAAATCGAAAAACTAAAAATTCAGAAAAATTGAAAACCGAAAACGAAAAAACAAGGAATTGAAGATCTAGAAACTTCAAATTCGAAAAAAAATCAGTAAAACGAAAAATTGGAAAACCCAAAACTTATAAAATTATAGAATCGTCAAAATTGTAAAATCTAAAAGTTGAAAAATTAAATATCCAGAAATTGGAAAATTAAAAATCGAAAAATTAAAAATCGAATAAATGAAAATGTTTTAAAATCCAATAATCCAATAATTAAACAATGGAAAAAATTCTGAAATCGTAAAATTGAGAAAATGTTTTTTTTTGTAATTATCATATTTATTACATATTTCAAATAAAAAGTAAAAAAATTTCAAGTCAAAAATTGAAGAAACGTAAAATTGCGAATCGAAAAATTGAAAAATCTACAGATTGAAAAATTCACATTGAACAAGGGAAAATTATAGAATCAGAACATTGAAACACCAAAAAATGGTAAAAATAAAAAATCGAAATAAAAAATTGCAAATCTTAAAATTGAACAAACAAAAAAAAATGTAAAGTTGAGAAATTGCAAAGCGAAAAATTGGAAAAGTGAATTTGCATAAATAAAAAAAATAAAGAGCCGAAATAAAACTTGGAAATCGAAAATTTGAAGAAATGAATCGAAAAATTGAAAAGTCGAATAAACGAAAAAGTTTTAAAATGCAATAGTTGAACAGTGGAAAAAATTCTAAAATCGAAAAATTGAGAACGTGATTTTTTTTTAAATTTTTTTATTTATTACATATTTCAAATGAAAACTAGGACAATTTCAAATTAAAAATTGAAGAAACGAAAAACTGAAGGTTGAAACGAGAAATTGAAAATTCCAAAATTGAAAAAACGTAAAATTGTGAATCAAAAAATTGAAATATCTGCAAATTGAAAAATTCACATTGAAAAAAAAATTATAGAACAGAAGCATTGAAAAACCGAAACGAAAAATTGCAAATCGTGAAGTTCACGAAACAAAAAAAAAGAAAAATTGAGAAAATAAAAAATTATAAAATTGGAACATTGCAAAATCGGAAAGTTGTAAAAATAAAAGAAATAAGGAGTCGAAATGAAAGTAAAAAATTTGAAGAAATGAAAACTTGAAAAATTAAAAATTGAAAAATTTGAAAAGTCGACTAAACGAAAAAGATTTAAAATTCAATTATTTGAACAATGAAAAAATTCTAAGATCGTAAAATAGAAAACGTGAATTTTTTGTAAATCATCGTAATTATTACATATTTCAAAAAAAAAAACTAGAAACATTACAAGTCAAAAATGAAAACCGAAAAATTGAAAATTCTGAAGTTTGAAAAATTCACACTGAAAAAAGAAAAATAATAGAATCAGAACACTGAAAAACAGAAAGATTGAAGTAACAAAAAAATGAAAAATTAAAAAAAATAAAATTGGAGCATTGAAAAATCGAAAAATTGTAAAAATAAAGGAAATAAGAAGCCGAAACAAATTGCAAGTGAAAAATTTGAAGAAATGAAAAATTGAAGAACCGATAAATCAAACAATCAAAAATTAAAAATTGAAAAGTCGAATAATTCAAAAATGAAAAAAAATCAAAAATCGTAAAATTGAAAATGTGAAATATTTTAAACATTTTTATTATTATTACATATTTAAAACGAATACTAGAAAGATTGCCAATCAAAAATTGAAGAAGCGAAAAACTGAAAAATCATGGAAAACCGAAAAATCCAAAGAATTCACCTTGGAAAAAAGAGAAATTATAAAATCAGAACATTGAAAAGCGAACAAATTGAAAAAATAATGAAAATAAAAAACTGTAAGTCAAAAAATTGCAAAATGTAGAAACTGAAACATCCAGAAGATGGAAAATCGAAAAACTAAAAAATTTAAATATGAAAACTCGAAAACAAAAGATTGAAATATTGAAATTGAAAAAAATTATAATATCGAAACATTAAAAAATAAAAAAAAAGTAAAAATAAAGAAAAGAATACACCGAATCGAAAAACTGGAAATCGAAAATTGAAAAAATGAAAAATTAAAAAATTAGAAAAATTGAAACATTAAAAATTGAAAACTCAAAAGATTCAAAGACTGAAAAATAAAAAAATCGAAACAGTGAAGAATAAAAAACCGAATCGAAAAATTGAAAACTTGAACAAACGAAAAAGTTACAATAATTGAAAAATAAAATAATTCAAAAATTGTAAAATTGTAAGTGATACATTCTAAAAATTATTATTTTTAAATATTTAAAACGAAAATTAGAAATATTGAGAGTCAAAAAATCAAGAAACGAAAATTGAAAAAATCTAAAATCTAGAAGTCAAAAAATCGGAAAGTTGACGACCGAAAAATTGGAAATTCCAAAAATAAAAAAAAACATTGACAGAAGAAAAATAATAAAATCAGAACATTGAAGAAACGAAAAATTGCAAATCAAAAAATTGAAATATTAAAATTGAAAACTCGCGAAATTGCAAATTGAAAAATTGCAAAATCTAAAAACTGAAATATTCAAAATTTGGAAACATTTAAACATGAAAACTCAAAAAGTTGTACATATATAGTGAAATTACAATTCGACAAATCGAAGAAACGGAAAGACAAAAAATTATAGTATCCGAACATTGAAAAATCGAAAATTTGTAAAAATAAAGAAAATAAAATACCGAATCGAAAAATTGGAAATTGAAAATTTGAAGAAATGAAAAATTAAAGAAACAAAAAATTGAAAAGAAAAATGAAAGATCCCAAATCAAAAATTGCAGAAACGAAAAACAGAAATAATTAAAATGGGAAAAACAAAATTATAAAATTAAAAAATCTAATAATTGGAAACATAGGAAAATATAATCGAAACAAAAAATTGTAAATCGAAAAATTGAAAACTTAAATAAAACAAAAAGTTCCAATAATTGAAAAATGAAAAAATTTCAAAATTGTTAAATTGGAAAAGTGAAACATTTTGAAAATTATCATTTCTAAACATTTAAAACGAAAACTAGAAATATTGACAGTCAAAAAATCGGAAAATTGAAAACCGAAAAATTGGGATGTCCAACAATAAAAAAATTGCATAAAAAAAAAGAACCATAAAATCAGAACATTGAAAATCCGAAAAATTGCAATTCAAAAAACTGACAAATTAAATTTGAAAACTCGCAAATCGAAAAAATTTCCAAAATCTAAAAATTGAAACATTTCAAATTTCGCAAAATTTAGATATGAAAACTCGAAAAGTTGTATATGGTGAAATTGCAATTCGACAAATCCAAGAAACGAAAAATTGAAATATTGAAATTGAAAAGACAGAAAATCCAAAATTTGTAAAAATAAAGAAAATAAAATACCGAATCGAAAAA